CACTTCCCCAACTCTATAAACAAACACAACATTAAATAATTTCACATTCATCCTAATCTCCTCCCTTCTATTTAACCCAAAACAAAGGGCGCCCAAATTCAACCAATAAGTTTTTTATCGAAACAGAGCAAAAAAACAAATCCCACCTTCCCCTCTCTTTCATACATCACTTTTCACTCCCATCTACACTCACTCACTCACTCTCTCTCAATCTCTCTCTCTCTCTCTCTTTCTACTTTCCCCTCTCTCTCTCTCTCTTTCTGCCCTCTTTCCTTTTCTAAAACTTGGAATAATCACCGGAACCATCCACGAAACATCGCTCCGTCTCTGATCCTACGGCACACAATTAATAAGCGCCAAACCATGGGTCCCTACGATTCTTCCATCAGCAGCAGTGGTAGCTCATCATCATGCGGTGGCAAAGCACCGGATCATGTAGACGGTCTTCTCGCCGGAGCCGGGTACAAGGTCCGATCCTTGGATCTCCTTCAAGTTGCCCAGCGTCTCGAACGCCTCGAGACCATCATGGTTAATGCCCCCTCAGATATCTCTCACCTCGCAAACGACGCCGTTCACTACAACCCCTCCGACCTCTCTTCCTGGGTCGACTCATTGCTCTCCGAGCTCAACCAACCCATCCCCGCCTTCTCTGATCTCGCCTTTCCCGAGGGACCCTCTTCAGATCAGACGGTTCATACAAGCGCGTGGACGGACCACCATGCGGCTGAGCAGCACCAAGAAATTCCCCAGAAGCCAACGGCCGTTACCACGGTCGAGGAAGATTCCGGTATTAGGTTGGTCCACCTGTTGATGACGTGTGCCGGCTCGGTCCAACGTGGCGAGTTCTCATTGGCCGTGTCGTTGATTGATGAGATGAATGAATTGTTGACACGTGTGAATACCAGCTGTGGCATAGGGAAAGTCGCCGTGTATTTTGTCGAAGCACTTAGCCGCCGGCTCTTCACGCCGCAAGGGGCTGGCGCAATTGGGTCGGCATATGAAAATGAGATATTGTACCATCACTTCTATGAAGCTTGTCCTTACTTGAAATTCGCTCATTTCACCGCTAATCAAGCAATATTAGAAGCTTTCGATGGCCATGATTGTGTCCACGTCATTGACTTCAACTTGATGCACGGCTTACAATGGCCGGCGTTGATTCAAGCCTTGGCTCTACGCCCAGGTGGGCCTCCATCACTCCGTTTAACCGGAATTGGCCCGCCTTCATCGGACGGTCATGATTCGCTTCGAGAAATTGGGCTTCGATTAGCTGAATTAGCTCACTCCGTTAATGTTCGATTCGCTTTTCGTGGCGTTGTAGCTTCACGGCTTGAAGATGTCAAACCATGGATGTTACAAGTCAGTTCAAAAGAAGTCGTGGCTATAAATTCCTCCATGCAGCTCCATAGGCTACTTGTATCGGATCCAACCCGTGCTTCGCCAATTGATATTGTTCTCGGGTGGATTCGGAGCTTGAATCCAAAAATCATGACGGTCGTTGAACAAGAAGCAAACCACAACCAACCCGAGTTTTTGAACCGATTCACTGAAGCTTTATACTACTATTCAACAATGTTCGACTCGTTAGAAGCTTGTTCAGCTCAGCCAGAGAAAGCCTTTGCCGAGATGTATATTGAGAGAGAAATATCTAATGTAGTGTGTTGTGAAGGCTTGGCTCGAGTTGAGAGACACGAGCCACTTGCTAAGTGGAGGGCCCGATTGGGTGAAGCCGGGTTTAGGCCACTCCATTTAGGATCCAATGCATTCAAGCAAGCTAGCATGTTGTTAACGTTGTTCTCGGCTCAAGGGTATCATGTGGAAGAGAATGAAGGGTGCTTGACGCTTGGCTGGCATAGCCGACCTCTCATTGCGGCTTCAGCTTGGCAAACCATTTCGGAGCCCAGTCCTTCATTTGGTTCAATTAGTCATCATAATAATGTGCTTTAAAATTTGTAATATGTGTCTAAGTTCTCCATTAATCTTATTTTCACACTTTTTTTAGCAATATGATTTTTATCGCGAACTTTTTTTCATGTTGCTACTAGTATATGATGTAGATATTTTCAGCAAAAGAAATTGGTACTAAGGTCAAGTTTGGCAATTCAAAAATAATCTATATTTTTGTCTTTTTATCTTTTTATCTTTTTTTCTATCATATCACCTCTCTATTTTTCTACACATCTTTTCGTAAAAAGACAAAAAGTATACTTATTTAGGTCATTTCAAACAACTCCTAAAGTTGGGTATCCCATCTAAATAAAAAAATAAAAAATTAGGATAGATATTATTAAGATTTTTGAATATTATAATACGTGTCTAAGTTCTCCATTGATCTTATTTTCACACTTCTTTTAGTAAAATGATTTGTATCCCCAACTTCTTTCATTGTGCTACTAGTATTGATGCAGGCATTTTCAGCAAAAGAAATTGGGACTGAAGTTGGGTACCCCATCTAAAATAAAAAATTTGGGTAGATAATGTTATATTTTTGATTTGTTAGGAAAGAGAAAAATGAAAAGAAAATTAAGTTACTTATATATTCATTTTTATAGTACCTAAATACAAATAAGTTTTTTAGACAAATGTCTAATATTTTTTTCTCATTTCTAATCCAACTAGGAAAGGGAAAAGAATTCTTCTACTTCGTTTTCTTTTCATATGTTATCCTTTTCTTTCTTTTTTTATTTTCTTCGTCTTTTACAAATCTTTTATGGAAAAACATTATTAATAGAATTAGAAATGAATTAGTCAAGTTACTTGTGAGAATAATGATTACAAAATTATTTTTTTCTTCAATCAGTCAATGAAATGAAAATAATTTAGGTGAAAGACATAAAAATAGCATATTAAATTGTAACAAACCGTTAAAGTTATGATAAAGCAACATAAAAAGATGTTCCACCAATATCGAAGTCAAAATTAAAATGTAGAATTAATCATAAACAATAGGGTATCGCTTCCGTTTTGATAATCTGAACCGTTAGTATGTAGAACTTGTCGAGTACTGTATGCTTGTAAAAAAGCACGTTGGTCGGATATCGATAACTATGTGATCAAAATAATTTTTTATCAACCGTTAATTTATTCACCGTTCAATTTTTTAATACGAAACTGATTTGATCATATAGCTATCGATATCCGATCAACGTAATTTTTTACAAGTATATAATACTCGACGAGTTTCACACATTGAACAGTTCAGATTATCAAAACGGGACCCGTGATGGAGCCTCCACGTGCCCAATAACACGGTCTAATTCGATCCCGAACTGGACAAAAGTCATACCCTAAACAGTATAATAGGTAGCTGAATCATTTTTATAATTAGATTTAATTTCAATTTTTTATTATATTTTGTTTTGTAAATTATTGCGTCATTGGCTCCATGCCATAATTGTGTGATAAAAAAAAAAGAAGCTACAAATTAGAAAAGGTCTAAACGCAAGGAAATGTCAACAAATTTGTAGAGACACAATTTGAACACCGAAAGTTATGCAGTTTTTCACTTTCAATGATTCAAAAGCATCGGAGTTACCGAAGTCTGAATATTGGAAGAAAGAGTACGCTCACTCATTCCCTCTGTGCAATATCCAACATTAAGGTCTCGTTTGGGAACAGGTTAATTTAGTAATTTTTTAGTTAATTAGTTAAAAAGATAGGTAAAAAAAATTAGTATGTTTGGGATGACTTTTTGACTAATTACGAAAAGCTGTGCAAAAAGTAGAGAGAAGCCGTAATTGTTGACATTTTGGTATGACTAATTGGCTAATTGGCTAATTTAGTAACTTTTTGGCTAATTGACTAAAAAGGTAGCATCCCAAACGAGGCTTAAGGCGGTATTTAAGCCTCGCTTGAGAACTTTTTTTTTTAATTAAAAAGTTAAAAAATTATTAAATTAATTAAAAAGTCAATAACTCATATTAAAAAGTTAAAAAAAAAATTCTCTTTACTTTTTGTATATCTTTTCGTAAAAAATAAAAAAGTCATTTCAAACATACTAATTTTTTTAGCTCATATTTTAGCCAAATAATAATAAAATTACTGAATTAGCCTGTTCCCAAACGAGGCCTTAGTTCAAAAATTTGGTGTGGAATAAAAAGAAAAATATTTTATCCTTCTTAAAATATTAATTATTTATTTTATTTTTTATTATCTTTAAAATATTATTATTTTTTTTAAAAAAAACAAGGAATAAAATAATATGAATTTATTATTTTGCTATTTTTTTAAATTCATTAATAATATAAAAAGTACAATTATGACAATTAATATTTTTAAAATGTAATAATTATAATATCAAAAAATAATTAAATTCCCTAAAAGCGACTATTATTTTAGAATGGAGAGAGTAGTCTAAGTGAACTCAAAAGGCAAAAAATGAAATTACATTTTTCTCACACTTTTTTCTTTCCTTTGTGTTTTCTATTATGACCAAAGAAAAGTGAGATTACATTAATCTTCCAACCAAACACAGTGTAAAACTTCATGATTAGGAAAATAAAATTATTTGAACAAACTTTCATGAATTCCTATTTTGTTTGAGTGTGTGAATACTATACTCTCTCTGTCTCAAAATATTAATTTTTTATTTCATTTTTCATTGTCTTAAAATATTAGTACATTTTCAAAAATTAAGAACTAAGATAATATGAATATTCTATTTGGTCTTTCTTTTAAATTTATTTACAATTCAAAAAGTACAATTATGACAATTGATATTCTCCAAAAAAAGTATTATCGAAGGGTAATTTTGAAAAATCAATTCTTTTAAAGTGCAAAAATTGTAGAGTGATTCTACTTACACCACCAATGTAACTCCTTATACCCTCAAAATTTATTTTTTTATTTTATATTTTTATAATTTTTATAATTCATTTATTACCCTCATCTGTAACCTTCCTCCTTCTCTATCTCTTTACACCCAAAACCTAAAAAACCCTAACCCTAGTTCTCCTCCATCACCACCACCTTTACCAACCCACTACCAGCGTCGACACTCCGACACCACTCTATCACCCTTCACCTCTACCCAGCCCTTCTCCACCTGAAGAAGCATTACTGGAGACCTTTTTACTAGAAACAAAGAATCTGGAGGAGCTAGATAAAGAGTCATTCCACGTATTCAGAGTTGGGAACAACGCTGAATCCAATAAAGACACAGAAGAGAGAGAGACAAAGAGATAGAGACAGAGACAGAGGAGAAGTGGAAGGATGCAATGGAGGCGATGATGGCGAAGGCAACAACAATGGAGGAAACAACAACATATGGATCTGAGATCTCTAGATCTATATACAGATATATATATATATATATATATATATGTTTCAGAGAGTGAGTGTAGCCAGCTTTTCGTGCTCCTCGAAGGGGTTTCGTTTCCTCGAATATGATAGCCCTACAATTCGGACTCTCGTGGTTCTGAATCTGGTTCCACAAGTGCAATGTGAAACAGAAAACAAATGAGAGTCCAAATCCGAAAATCCCTAGAAAATTCATTAATCATCAGAGATGCCAGAAATGGACTGCATTGCCAGATTTTAGAGTCGCCATCTACATATTTTTTAAAAATTTAGGAAATATGTAATAATACCAATTATAGCGATCCCGGTTGTCCCTTTACTGTTCTGTTGTATTCCGGACTCAGTTCCGTGGAGTTGAGTGTTGTATTTATCTTGTTGTCATCCTTTAATTCCGTTTGTTTGAATTATAGGATGTGTTAGGCTTGTTTCGAACAGGTGGGTTGAACCTTGGTCTGAAATCTTGTTGCTGGGTTTTTGGTCATTACGCTCGAGCGGGTATTTTTGCGCTCAAGCGGATATTGCACACTCCCAGTTTTTCTTGTCCCTGCAAAACTTCTGGAGGTGTGATTTTTACGCTCGAGCGGGTTTCTTTACGCTCGAGCGGGTAGTACCTTTTTGGTATAAGTTCTGAGAGGGAGAAATCTACGCTCGAGTGGACTGGTTTTCGCGCTCGAGCTGGCCTTCTTGCGCTCGAGCGTTGTGTTCTTCGCTCGAGCGGGAATGTCGTACATCAGTTGGCAGCTAGGCATTTTAAAATCACTTTTTGCATTCTCTCTCTCTCTCTCTTACTTTTCCAAAAAGCCATTTGAGAGCTTCTCTCTCTAAAACCATAACTTCTCTCTAAGTATTGATCTAGCTAGGGTATTTTCCTCACCTTTGGTCTTCACAAAAGTTGGGTTGATCGTCAAGGGCTTTACCTTGATCCGAAAATTTCAAGTTTTGGAGCACGTTGAGTTTCGTCATCTTCTTCCCTTGAGCTCCGAATTTGAGATAGAGATTCCTACTCACTATTATGGTCTTCGACATAGATTATTGGTAGTTTTGATAAAGTGTTGAAGTTGGTTGATTTTGGGACTTAGGGTTTCAAAAAGGGTATAAACGAGGGTTTGATATTTTGATTCTTAAACATGTATTTTGGGTTTCAAAATAATGATGTTGTTGTTGGTTGTTGATATATAGGCCATTGGGTCAATATTGGGAAATGGGGTAGAAAACCCTAATTCGTTGAATAAATTAATTGGTATAATTAATTTGGGAAAAATTGTGGACTTATGGAATTGAGTTGGAAATAATAAAATTGGCTCATTATGTTGTGAAATGATAGAGTTGGATTTATAAATCGCTCAATTTTGAAAACATTGATATTTTATCTGTTGGAGCTTTTATTATCTGTTTAGAAATAATTGCTTGGGCTACCGGTGGAGGGTAGTTTTGATTGTTGTAGACAATGCATGATGATTAGGCAAACTAAAAATAATCAATTGGATATGTCATAGAGTATCACGGTTGATAGAATACATTAACGTTATGTATTGATTGATTGTGTATATAACCTATGTGTATATACATTGTGTGTGGGGGAGGAGATAGGGGATGTACTCCACGGTTTAGGAAAAGATAGGGGATGGACCTCTAAACCGGATGTTGTTTGGAAGGAGATAGGGGATGGACTCCACCGATACAGCTCATATGCTTGTCAGATAATGTGTTGATATAGCTCATTTGCTTGTCATTG